CCAAATGGCCCTCCCCTGACACCCCCTGTAATGGCTCCCAGACACCTCTTCTGCCCACTCCCAGGATACCCGTCCTAACTGAGAAGAAGGGGGTCCAAGGGGGTCTGGCCAGATCCCCCAGTGTCTACTGTGCTCGGCCAGCATGGGCCCGAGTGAGGGAGAGTGGGGCTCCTGAGCCATCTGACAGGTGGGCCCACAGTATCCTCCCTGCACCGAGGGGTGAGGGCTGAGGGGGCACAGCCAGCACACCTGCAGGCTATGTCCGATCCACCAGTAGAAGACGGTGAGGTTTGGATTCAGAGGCAACAGCACGGCCGTGAGGGTCACCTCCTCGTTGATGCCAATGGCGGGGACCACCTCCAGGTAGAGGGCTTGTAGGGGGGCTGCAGGGACCAGTAACAGGCTGGCGGTCAGCAGGCATAGAGACACGGGGCACTTCAGAGGCTTCTTATTGATCAGTGACCCCACCAACTTCACTGCCACCCCCCCATCACCTCTACCACCTGCACCCACTCCACTATCACCACCTCCTATCGTCACCACGACACCCCACCAACCACACCACCCCATCACTGTCACTATCACCACCTCCACCATCATCATGGTTATGTCCATGTACACCCTCACCAACTATGCCTCGACCACTACCATCCCATTCACCACCCATACCACCTCCACCAGCACCATCACTACCAATATTACCACACCCTCACCAACTATGCCACGACCACTACCATCCCATTCACCACCCATACCACCTCCACCAGCACCATCACTACCAATATTACCACACCCTCACCAACTACATCCACTGCACCACCACCATCACTACTTACACCATCACCATCACCACCAACATCACCTTCACCATCACCACCTACCACCTCAAGCACCACGATCACACCTCTACCTCCACCAGCATGACTGTGATCACCTTCACACCACGACTGTCATCACCACACCATCATACCACCACTGCGCAGCTCACGAGGGCTGTCGATTTGGACCCCAGCCCCTGGGGTGGCTGTCCTGAGGGCCCTGGGGTGCAGCATCAGCCCTGGGGCCCCCTGCCCTCTGCCCCGGCGCCCAGGGGGCAGACTTACAGTTCACCTGGACGAAGAGGACGGCCTCGTCCTGCCCAGCCGCGTTCTCCGCCCGCACGGAAACGCGGTACACGCCCGGGCTCTCGTAGTGGTGCCGCACACGCTCCCCGCTCTGTGTGAGGTTTACGTACATGGCCTTGAAGCCGTCCCCAAGGTCCACCTGGTACTTGGTGGTCAGGACGTCGCCCTGCAGGGAAACACCGTGAGGCCACTTAGCAGTGGCCACAATGCAAGTGCCATGAAGTAGTCCCTCCCTCCTCCTCTCCCTCCCTCCCTCCCACACTCTTCCTCTCCCTCCATCCCTCACTCCGTCACACACTCCTTCATTCCCTCCCACCTGCTTTCTCTCCTTCCCTCCCTCCCTCCCCCACTCTTCACAGGAGGGCCGAAGGAGAAGTGTGCCTGTGGCCGCGGGATGAGAGCTGGTCACACAGCACGGGGAGGAGGACCCGGCACAGCCGTGGCGCACGGTGTCACACTCATCTATGCTGCTGACCCTCACACACGGAGACCGTGTCTTCTGGGCCCCACGGAAAGCGACAAGCCAAACAACGAGGCAGGAAGGACCTCGTCAGAGGTGCAGACATTGCTGATGACATGGGCGAAGGGCCAGACACAAAGCCGCACCTCCTCAGCACATTGGCAGTCAGTGCTGAGCCAGGGTGCTTCTGGGAGACGCTTCAGGAAAAGCAGGATGATGACCTGGTGCTCAAGCAATGTCCATGTCCCACAGCATCCACATC